ACCAGTGCTGACTCCGCCCGCTCCCCCCTCGCCTCCAGTCAGTCTGGCGCTGGCAGGGTCGGGGTAAGTAGGGGGGCTCCCGGGCCCCGCCTCAGCTCAGGGTCCCTCCAGCCAGGACTCTTGCCTCCAGGACCGTCCAGAACCTGGGAGGGCAGAGCCGGGGGACCGCCCGGGCAGGGGGCTGAGGAGCTGGGGCAGGGCAGCCCCAGAGGGAGCGTAGCCCCGGAGAGCGGGATGCAGGCCCCACATGGCTGTGCCCTGGGCACTGGTCCCCACTATGGCCCCGCTGCTGCTGCTGCTCCTGGCCGCCCTGCCACAGTCCCTGGGTGGCTTGGGCCTCTTCGCCCAGCCCCGGCTGCGGCGCTGGGGGGCGACCGCCCTGCGGCACCTGCAGGCGGCTCCGTGTGCCCCGCGGGGCGGCCCCCAGCCCGAGTGTCCCGCGCTCGGACCCTGCCTGGCCCAGCCACAAGGTGCGGGCGCTGCTCCCCGATGCAAACCGCAGCGGCCCCAGGGCACCCCCCGTTTAGGACGCGCTGCTGCTGCCAGGGCCGGCTCTAGGCTTTTGCCCCCCCAAGCGCCAAAAAAAAAAAAGAGGCTGGCTGGAATGCCGCCCCTGAAAATGTGCCGCCCCAAGCCCCTGCTTGGTTTGCAGGTGCCTGGAGCCGGCCCTGGAACTATTGTGTCATGTGATGAAACCTCCAGGTACACGTCCCAGCCAAACTGGCAAGCCTAGATCTCGCTCTCTTTCCAGCCCAGCTTTCCCTTCACTGCAGCCCTTTATCTGTACCCTGCCCACCCCCGCCCCGGCCAGTGTGAAGGGACAGCTGGGGTCATGGCCCCCTCCCCATCTTTCATTTCCTCCCTCTCGCTCTCGGCAGTCCCTCACCTTCTCCCCTACCTGGGACGGGGAGGCTGGTCTGTGACCATCCCTGTTTCCCATCTGGCTTCCCAGCAGCTCCCTCCCCCCTGAGGATCAGGCCCCAGGGACCCCCCAGCGATGGCGCTTATCCGGATCGCAAGCGTCATCCTGGCTCTGCTCAGCCTGGCGCTGCTGGTGGAGGCCCTGGTCTCAGACAACTGGGTGAAGGTTAATGAAGCAGAGGGGAGGCATTTTGGGTTGTGGAAGAGATGTGTGTCGCAGATTTGCATCTTGCATCTAACCAGAGTACCAGGTAAGGAAACTGTGGGTCTCGTCCCCAGCTCTGGGAGGGGAGTGGGGTCTAGTGGTTAGAGCGGGTTGGAGGCTGGGAACCAGGACTCCTGGGTTTTCTCCCCAGCTCTGGGAGGGGAATGAGGTCTAGTGGTTAGAGCGGGTTGGAGGCTGGGAACCAGGACTCCTGGGTTTTCTCCCCAGCTCTGGGAGGGGAGTGGGGTCTAGTGGTTAGAGCGGGTTGGAGGCTGGGAACCAGGACTCCTGGGTTTTCTCCCTAGCTCTGGGAGGAGAGCGGGGTCTAGTGGGTAAAACCGGGGGGCGGTAGTGGTGGTGGTAACCAGGACTCCTGGGGTCTTTCCCCAGCCCGGGGGGGAGGGGAGAGACAGGGGAGTGGGGTCTAGTGGATTAGAGCAGAGGGGCTGGGAGTCAGGTCCTCTCCCCAGCTCTCGGAGAGGACAGGGGAGTGGGGTCTAGTGGCTTAGAGGGCTGGGAGTCAGGACTCCTGGGTTCTGTGCAGTTACTGATTTAACCCCTTCCCCGCTCCACAGGTTTCTTCCACACCATCAGGTTTTTCATGATCCTGGCCATGTTCGCTGGGTTTCTCTCCTTCTTTGCTCTCATCGCCTCCTTCTTTTGCTCCCACTTTCGCTCCGTGTCCCTGATCCTGGTCTCCACCATGGGCAGCTTCAGTGCAGGTACCGCACCCACAGGGCCCCCACCTCGCCGGCCAGTCCCGGACCACGGGTCCCACAGCTCTATGGATATTGTGGATCCCCCACAGCCAGCCCTGGGGAGGATGCCCCTCTCCCCTTGGATCCTGCCCTGGGCTCTGGCAGCTCCCCCTGGTGGTGGGCCGGGGCAGGGGCTGGGACTGAGCGTGGGCCGCACTAAGGGGTGTCCTTGCTGTTCCCTTTGCCCCAGGACTCTGTGCCATGATCGCGCTGGTCGTGTTCGCCAATACTGATTGCCAGCTTGTCATGCCAGGAATGCTCTCCTACAGTTGGTCCTACGGCCTGGGCTGGCTGTCCTTCTTCCTGTATCTTGGAACTGGTGAGCGCACCTAGGGCTCTGTGGGCTGAGATGCAGCCATCTCTGGGGTGGGGCAGCTGGGGAACAGCCACACATAACATCACGTGGGGATGGCTTGCCCACCACTGAGATGCAGCCACCTCTGGGGTGGGGCAGCTGGGGAACAACCACACATAACATCACATGGGGATGGCTTGCCCACCACTGAGATGCAGCCACCTCTGGGGCGGGGCAGCTGGGGATCAGTGGATGATGCTTCCATTGGTTCCGTCACGGTCCTGAGCCCATTTCTCTCCTCTGCCCCAGGTGCGGTAACGCTGCTCACCCCGGGATCCTCCTACAGCCGAGTGTGAGGCCCACACTGCCCCCTAGGGATGGAGCTGGGAGGGCTGGATGGAGCTTGCAGCGTCGTGGGGACGAACCTCGAGCAGGGTGTGTGAACTTGTGTGTGTGTCTGTCTGTCCTACTACCCTCTGCTGGAGGGGATGAGCCCTGCTGTGTATATATGTCACTCTGGGCTCTCACAACCCCCCATCACAGCGATTGCCCCCCCCCACTACAGCCCCCCTGCCCTCCTCTCTTCTTCCCGGGGCCCCCAGCTGAACCCTATTTCTTCCATGGAGATTAAAGGGCCTGTCCTCTAAGCCTTCTGTCTGGGGATTTCTGGCCCCTCAACAACATCCCCATCCCTCCCACTCCCCTGGGGTGAGTGTCAAAGACAGGCAGGATGCCTGGGTTCTCTCCCCAGCTCAGGGAAGGGAATGGGGTCTAGTGGGTCATAGCAGGGAAGGGGGGTCAGGACTCCTGGGTTCTATTCCTAGTGCTGGGAGGAGCGGGGAGACGACCAATGAGAGCAGGGGCGTCGGTTCTGATCACATCAGCTCTGGGAGCTCACGCTCGGTTTCTGGGGGTGTTGGGGCTGCAATGTTATAAAACACTCCCTGTCCAAAGTTGCTTCGCCGCTGACCCTGACCAGGCTCCAGCGGGCTGAGGTGTTCAGTCGCTGACATCTGCAGTGTCAGAGACGGAAGGGGTGGGCAGGGGGGTGACTCAAACCGGGGGAGGCCGGGGAAAGAGATGGGCAGGTAGCCAGGGTAAATCAGGGACTGAGTAGATGGAGGGTTTTTTCCTTTCTTAGATGCTAGTTTTTGAAATGATGTGGAAAATATCCCCCCAAATTCTGGCTTTTACATCTAGATCCAGCTCTAAAATCATGCACTTTTAGCCTTTTTAAAATTTCAGTCATTCCCGAATTCACCGCAGAGATTTCACGGGGGTGGAGAAAGGTGACAGGCCGGCAAAAGAATTAATATTGGGAGATCAATAACTACTAGCAGTTGGTAAATGTGAGCGGGAGCATCCTGAGAAACCCTGCTGTGAAGAGCAGCTTAGAGCTAAGCACGGAAGATTAGATTTTTACTGGTAAATGTCAGTAAAGTTTTATTTAATCCTTTCACGCCGCGCTGTAATCTGCTTTCAACAATGCCGATTTCACTGTTCACACACAAACGGACGAGAAAGTATTTCCTCATTGGTATTAATCAAAGTTTACAGCCAGGCAAAGGAAGAAAAATGCTGATGAAGAATTTCTTTGAGTCAAAATCCAGCGATCTGGACTTTTGAACTAGGCCTGTTACAAATGGAACAGGTCTGATTTGTTGCTTGATGGCTGTGTCTTTTGTGTATTTTGCCACCTGATGTATGTTGACAATGGGTGTTGTAAAGAGTTATAAAACTGTAGCTTCTTGAGCCCCAAGATTGACTGCCTTCGAATAAAACCACCGACTAACCGCCCCGCAACGTCACACGACTGCACGGTTATAGAGACATTTTAAAAAATGATTAAAGAAAAACATTGTAAATTGTCCGGGGAAATTTTTTCAAAAGTAAACATGGAGTTCTGCCGAACACGTCTATATCTACGCTTGGCAGAGAGGCATTTTTATCAGTGAACGTTGATTTCAAGGGGAGGAAAAATATCTCCCTTGATAATAATCGACATTTACAGAATAAGAAGAACGCTGCTTGAGAACGTCTCAGTGTTTGATTTCAGGATATTGACTTTGCATATGTGCACCAGCGACATTTGTGTTTTAAGGGTTAGAAAGCCTTAACTTTTAGCATCTCAACCGCGGCGGTCAGGAAGTAATTCTTGGCCGACCCCGCTGCTCTCTGCTTCCCCCCGGGAAATCGATAACAATCAGGAAAGAATTGTGAAAATTTCCAGGGATGAGAATTGAAAAAAAAACACGCACACATTGCTAAACATTGCTAAACATTGATCTTGTCTGTTGAAATGATCAAGAAACAAACACTGAATCCTTCAGACCCTGGTTGTGATTCTATCCCTGCCCATGTGGGGGGACATAGACGCAGGGCAAGAGAAGGACCGGGCCGAGGGCACTGCAGTTAGAGGTGTGATCATATAGTCCATCCCGCCGCCATGCCCAGGGCGTGATCGCCCCCTACTGTCCGTGCCCCAGGTTTATTGCAGGTCTGGACTGAGCTATCCTGAGCAATTAGTGACCTTTCTATTCCCCTGTGGTAGTGGTGGCATCCCCCACCCCCTGCAGCACAGGGGCATCGGGACCAGCCCTGACTGCCAAAGGAGAGCCCCCACCCCGCCCCCCTGCAGCACAGCGCCCCCTAGTGCCTCCCTGGGGCATTGGGACCAGCCCTGACTGCCATGGGAGAGCCCCCCACTCCCCTTCTTGTCTCCCATCCATGCCCAGATCGTGCCCACCCCTGCTTAGCCAGAGAGAGGAAAGTGAAAGGACTTGGACGTTGCTAAACAACCCCCTGCAGCTGCAGCGAAAGGGGGAAGTTTGGAGCAACCCTTTGAGGCGCTCTGGGGCCCGGCTCCCCCAGCTCGCCCCAGGGAGACCCACAGAAATCTCACCCCCTCCTCACTCCACCCGGTGCCACTTCCCCTTTCGCCCTCCAAAGCCGCTGGAGTGATTGTTCAGCTCCCCCCCGGCCAGATCAGCTGCTGGAGCCGCGGCTGCAGGACGCACTATAAGGTAATTGCACCTTCTCCTGCCGGCGGGAATGGGGGCTAGTGGTTAGAGCGGGGGCTGGGAGCCAGGACTCCTGGTTCTATCCATGCTTTGGGAGGGAACTGGGGTCTAGTGGTAATGGTGGGGGGCTGGGAGCTGGAGGTGGTGCAGGCTGGCTCTCCAGTGCTAAGCGCGAAGAAAGAGGCCTGTTTAGTGCTTGGAGGGGAGATCTCCAGGGAAACACGTACAGTGCTTCAAGGGGCATGGTGGAGGCACTAGGGGGTGCTGGGCTGCAAGGGGCGGGGTGGGGGCACTAGGGGGCGCTGTGCTGCAGGGGATGGGGTGGGGGCAGTCAACGCCAGTTCTCACACCCTGAGGCTGCTCTCCCACGTCCTCCCCCTCACCTTGGTTTGCTCAACGCCCAGAGGAAGTGGCAGCATCTCTGTGACAAAAATACCCCGGGCCGAGGCCCAGCCAGCGGCCCTTGACGCGGGGGAAACAGCTGCTCTGGTGCCCTGTTCTGCTCGGAAGTGGGGGGGGGGCATTCTCAGGAGTCTTCAACCCCATCACCCAAGTGGGGGATCGGACGTGAGGAGCAGCCGGGGCCTTTGACTCTGGACTGCGGTGAGGCACACAGCCTGACAGCTGCTGCACAGCTGGGGAAACTGAGGCACGGGGGGTTGACTTGGAGAACCTCACACACAAGTGGACTCAGAGTTCTGGGCTCGTCTGCTGCTCTAACCACTAGACTCTGCTCCCCAGCCAGAACCACGGATAGAACCCAGGAGTCCTGGCTTCCAGCCCCCACCCCCTAACCGATTAGAGGCTTCCGGTCTGAGCTCCCAGGTGGTGTGGGTGGGGTTATACCAAGACCTGTAATAACAGAACCCTGCCCAGCGGGGTGTGTAACGGTCCCCATGCGTTTAGCTGCCTTCCCTATGTAAACGTGACGCCCTTTGCACTGCGCCATGTGTGACAAACCCATCCAGCAGCTAGTGAGTTAGAGCAGGGGACTGGCAGCCAGGACGCCTGGGTTCTCTCCCCAGCCCTGGGAGGGGAGCGGGGTCTAGTGGTTAGAGCGGGTAGCAGGTTCACTGCAGTCTCCCCTCTAGCTGGTCTCTCTCTGCTCTGGGTGTCTGATGTTGCTCTGGGTCATTGCAGGAACCGACCAGCCCTGCGCTCCTTCCTCTGCTCCCCAGTGCTGCGGCTGCCCAGGGGTCACCATGAGGCGTCTCGTCTGGCTACTGTTCCTACCTGGTAAGGCCCCTTCCCCTTGCCCTGAAGCTCTGGCTGCTTCAGCCCCACAGAGTCCTGGGGGCCAGAGAGAAGGGAGGGGAGACCCGGCTGGGGGCGGGGGTGTCACAAGCTCAGAAGAAGGTTTTCCTCTGTGAGATTTACTACACTTGCATCAGACTAATGTGATCCAGTGATTGGCGGTGAGGGGTGGGCTGGGATTCAGGACTCCTGGGTTCTATCCCAGCTTGGGAGGGGAGAGGGGTCTAGTGGTTTAGTGGTGGGAATCAGGAATCGTGGGTTCTTCCCAGTGTGCTGATGGGGAAACTGAGGCACAGAGCCACACCATGAGCTGAACAGGGAGTTTAGTGCTGGGAATCAAACCCCGATCTCCTGAGTCCCTGTTCAGCACCAGAAGCGCCCGGCCAGCCTGCCCCTCGCTCCCATCTCTGTTACTCTGCTGCTTCCAGGCTTCCTCTGTCAATGTGACCCACCTGTCGAGGTCCCCGAGTCCCTGATCGCTTGGACGGGGGCCTGTCTGTCCATCCCGTGCCTCTATCGATCCTGTGTCCTGAACCCCATAAAGACAAAGAAATTGACCATCAACTCCCTGACCTGGTACCTGAACCCTGGGTATGACTCTGAGAAGAAAGATTTCAATGGCACCATCCTGTATAAACACAACACCTCCATCAGCCCGGCCGTCACAGAGCGTGTGAGGTTCCTGGGGGACCTGGAGAGAGATTGCAGCCTGCAGCTGTCTGACCTGCGGGCCAGCGAGAACGGCTCGTACGGGCTGAGACTGATCGTCTTGAGCATCGCGCAGAAGCCGGAGGAGAAGAAGTGGATGACTAAGATCAATGTGAACGTGATGGGTAAGAGGGAAAGTCCTGGGCTTCCTTGTAGGAACAGATTAAAGACTCATAGCCCACCCCACCCCCTGCTCTAACCACTCGACCCCATTCCCCTCCCAGAGCTGGGGAGAGAACCCAGGAGTCCTGGCTCCCAGCCCCCCCAAACACTAGACCCCACTCTGGTGGCAGCCATGCCTGGGGACACAGCTCAATGCGCCTGGGATGACATCCAGGCCAGCTGTTCCTATTTTCTCCACCTCTGTTCCATCCCTTTAATGAGGTAACGACTCTCACTAAAGTCTGGGGCTACAGCCAGCCTTGAACTCCCCATCTGCATGAGAACAGCACCGACCTCTGCCAGTCGAGCTAAAGGAGATGGGTCCTTACCTAGCAGAAGCAGTAGGTTGTTATCCTCCGTGCTGCTCAGCAGAGCCTCTAGCAAAACGGAACAACAGTTTGGATAGAAAACTTCAAAGTTGTTTCCGTTTTACGGTGTTTTTCCACATTTCTCCTGAAATATTTTACTCACAAACTTTGAATTTTTGAATTTAATTTTTCCACTTGCTTTTTGTTCCCTTTTCACCCCAAGTGCAGCACAAGGAAGGATGTCGGGGGTTGGGTTTTGTTATTTCATGTTTTCCCTTTTCCTCCAGCTACCCCAGGGGAAGGCGTTTTGGTGCCTCAGTTTCCCCACCTGAAAATCAGGGAGAATAATCCTTTGCCTATTTCCACTGTGGTCTCTTTGGAGCAGGGACTGTCTCTTGCTGTGTCTGGGCAGCGCCCGGCACAACAGGGCCCTGATGTCACCTGGGGCAGGGACTCTACCTAATGCAGTAGGAAGAGAGCCTGAGATGTGAGCCCTTGTATCAGAGGCCTGGTATGAGACAGGCCCTGCTCACAGAATGTGGCAAGAACAGGGCAGATCTTGCAGAAATACACATTGCTAAGAAGTGCTAGGCACCGAGCACTCCCGCAAACACCGCCCGATATTAAGTGGTACCAAGGAAAGTACAAAAACCTTCCCCCAGGATAACGGGAACACACTGACCCCTCCTAACAGATAAGATCAGGCTGACAGTACGGAACTTGTTTATAGCAGGGTATAAAGATGTACCCGAGGCTTTGTCTACACTAGGCACCTTTCAGCGACACAGTTGTGCCGCTACAGCCCTGCCGCTAAGAGGCGCGCAGTGTAGCCGCTGTTTGTCGGCAGGAGAGAGCTCTCCCGCCGACAAAAAAATTCCACCCCCAGAGAGCGGCAGCAGCTTTGTCGGCGGGATAGCACTCCTGCCCACAAAGCGCTGTTCACACCACCACTCTTCGTCGGTAAAACTTTTGTTGTTCAGGGCGTGTGTGTTTTTTAACATCCCTGAATGACAAAAGTTTTGCCGACGAAGTTCCAGTGTAGACACAGCCTCAGAGGGAGACTCGTTGGCCAGCCGAGGGGGCAGTGGAAAGTCCTGCCATGGACTGAGCTGCGTCCATTGTCACGAGCAGACATGTCTTAGTGTCCTCGTAGAGTCTGCTGGGTGCTACTATCATGCTTTGTCGCCAATAAACCTGGTCCGGTGCCTTCGTACCTTAACGGATCTTGTGGTCATTGGGTAGTTCGCTTGAGGTGTCTACGCAGAGCTGGGGCAGCACACAGAGAACACACACATGCAGCCGAACATCTAACACCACCTAATAATAAAGTGTTCTCCATAATAACTTTCTCCTTTGTGCCCCTGATACAGATTCACCTCCAGCTCCTCAAATCCAAGCACCCAGCGAGCTCAGGGAGTCAATCACGGCCCAGGCAGTTTGCTCCGTAGCCTATCACTGCCCCAACTACCCCATAACTCTGACGTGGGTCGGTTTGGGGTATAGGACCCCTGAGCCCACCATAAGGACGGGGAGCGGAAGGACTGAGAGCACATTGACTTTCACGCCCACCTGGCAGGACCATGGGACAAATTTAACCTGCCGGCTCAGCACCCCGGCTGGGACACCAAGCTCCGAGAGCAGCGTGGTGCTGGACGTGAAATGTGAGTGGGGGGATTTGAACTGGGC